TCTGATCTGAATAAAGCGTGTCCCATGGATCCCTACCCAGTGCCGAGGATCGATCTGCTAGTAGATGAGACTGCTGGGTGTGAGTTACTGAGCTTCATGGATGCTTTCCGGGGTTATCATCAGATATTCATGCACCCGGCCGATGCAGAGAAAACGGCGTTCGTTACTTCGGATGGCGTGTTCTGCTACATCGTCATGCCATTCGGATTAAAGAACGCGATGGCAACCTTCCAGAGGATGATCGGGATGCTGTTCAAAGATGTGCTGGGTGTCACAATGGAAGCCTACGTTGATGACATCCTGATCAAGAGCAAAAAGAAGGAAAACCATATCCTGGACATAGAAAAGGTGTTCGGGATAATGCAAAGGGCGAATATGAGGCTGAATCCCAAGAAATGTGCGTTTGCTGTAAGAGGAGGCAAATTTTTGGGGTACATGATGAGCGAGAAGGGGATTGATCCCAATCCAGAAAAAGTAAAGGCCATTGTGGACATGGAAGCTCCAAGGAATCTCAAGGAAGTGCAGAGGTTGACCGGTCGGCTAGCAGCCCTGAGCAGATTCCTATCAAAACTGGCCGATCGAGCTATCCCGTTCTTCCAAATTATGAAGAAAGCCAACCCTTTCGAGTGGACGGCCGAATGCCAAACGGCCTTTGAGGATTTCAAGACATATCTGTCTTCCCCCTGGTCTTGACAAAACCCGAACCAGGGAACATCTGTATATGTACCTTGCTGTAGCTTACTTGGCCGTAAGTACAGTACTGTTGAAAGAAGAAGATGGCGTTCAACGGCCAATCTATTTTGTGAGCAAGGCGTTGAACGGCCCGGAAACCAGGTACACCTTGCTAGAGAAGAATGTACTGGCCCTGATAGCTGCCATTAAACGCCTGGCCCCGTATTTCCAGACCCACCCGGTAACTGTATATACTACCCAGCCATTAGCCACCATCTTGAGAAATCCTATGGCTAGTGGGCGCATTACCAAGTGGAGTCTCCTGATCGGGCAATACGAGGTAGATTTCAAACACCGGCCTACTATCAAAGGGCGGGCCCTGGCAGATTTCATTGCAGAATGTACCGCCCGGCCCTCAGAAAAAGATTCAGAGAACAACGGGCTGGATAACTGGTGGGAAATGTATGTGGATGGAGCATCTAGTGCCAAAGGTTGTGGAGCTGGAGCTGTGATCACATCACCCGAGGGGTTCAAAGCATATTATTCCTTTCATTTTGATTTCAAGGTGACCAACAATGAGGCTGAATATGAGGCCCTCATTGCTGGCTTAAAGTATGCAAGGGCCCTGGGCGCCGATCGGTTAAAAGTTCGATCGGACAGTCAACTGGTGGTACATCAAGTGAACGGCACGGCTGAGGCCAAAGAAGAAAGGATGAAGGCCTACAAGGAAATGGTCGAGGAGCAGATACGTAAATTTGAAAAGGTGGTGCTCGACCAGATATCCAGAATCGAAAATACTGAAGCAGATATCCTGTCCAAATTAGAGCATGCAGCGTTCGACGATCGGGCACAGGAGATCCCGACTCATATCCAACGTTTTGCCCATCGGGAAACATTGGCAACCCCAGCAATCATGGTGCTCCAGATCGAGGCCATATCTTATGCCATCCCGAGCTGGGTCGTGGATATGACCAACTACCTAAAAGACGGAACCCTCCCACAGGATAAAAATCCTGCTTATCAAATAAAATGCATCCAGAGGAGGGCTTCCATGTTCGAATTGGTGGACGGGCAGTTGTATAAAAAGACATTTGGGGGCCGTATCTGAAATGCCTCCCACCCGATCTAGCGGCAGCTGTAATGGAAGAGATTCATGAAGGTATCTGTTCCAGCCACCAAGGGCCCAAGACACTGGCCAGAAAAATCATCTTGCAAGGGTATTATTGGCCAACTATCCAACAGGACTGCTTCGCGCATACTAGGAAATGTAAGGTATGCCAATTATACGCACCGGTTCCCGGACGGCCTGCCACTTTCTACACTCCAATGACGGTGGCCCTTCCATTCGCAAGATGGGGAATAGACCTTTTAGGCCCTCTACCTACTGCACCTGGAAACAACAAGTACATCATTGTGGGGATAGATTACTTCACCAAATAGGTAGAGGCCGAGCCACTGGCCAGCATCACAGATGTTAAATGCCAGAAGTTTGTCTGGAAAAATATCATTTGCCGGTTCGGGATCCCTGAACAGATCATAACTGACAATGGAAGGAAGTTCGTGAGCCGAAATTTTGAGAACTACCTGGTCAAATGGGGGATCAAGCATTCCAGAGCGTCCGTCGCATACCCTCAGGCAAATGGCCAGGTAGAAAATATGAACTGAACTATCATGGATGGCATGAAGAAGAAGCTGGAAGAATACTCCTCATCGTGGCCTGATCAGTTGAATTACATTTTGTGGACTTACAGGACCACACCCCGAACGGCCACGGGAGAGACTCCATTTGCCCTTACCTATGGTTTTCAAGCCAAAGTACCAACGGAGATCCTAGTTCCCACACACCGAACGGTGCATTACAGCCCAGAACAGAATGAAGATAACTTACGGGCCGAATTGCATTTCATAGAAGAAAGAAGGGATCTGGCAGCGGCACGAATGGAAGAGTATCACAGAGCCACAAGAAGATACTTCGATAAGCAGGTTAAAGTTCGTTTAATCGAGGTAGGGGACCTGGTACTAAGAAAGAGAGAGAAAAGCAAACCGCTCGAAGGGGGCAAAATGGCACAAAATTGGGAAGGCCCCTACCAAGTACGTAAGAAGTATGCTTCAGGAACGTTTGGCCTACAAAATACCGAAGGCCGACCGGCAGGAACCTGGAATGTGGAGCACCTGAGGAGATTTTATCAGTAAAAATGGCTGTTGCCACCTCTAAAATATATATATATATATATATATATATATATATATATATAGAGAGAGAGAGAGAGAGGGAGACATAACTTCCACAAACTCAGCCCATGGTTAACTCGATCATTCCGGATAACCGAATGACGAACGGGTTAACAACATGGAAGGAAAATCAATTCTTAGTTTAGAGAGTTTTTGACCCTAGAATTACGAAAGAATAAAGGGATCAAAAACGGCTTGAAGAATTGAGGCTCAGAAAATCGGTGCCCGGGGTTAACTCAATCATTCCGGATGACCGAATGACGAACGGGTTAATTCCATGGAAGGAAAATCAATTCTCAGTTTAGAGAGTTTTTGACCCTAGATTTATGTAAGAATAAAGGGATCAAAAACGGCTTGAAGATTTGAGGCTCAGGAAATCGGTGCCCGTGGTTAACTCAATCATTCCGGATGACCGAATGACGAACGAGTTAACAGCATGGAAGGAAAGTCATTCTCAGCCAACGACTGGGAGTTTGACGCTCAGATAGTCTCACCTCAGCGATTAATATGAGAATCGATTCTGGAAAACCGAATGACGAACATATTAGCAGTTTGGAGGGAGCCATACATTTCAGCAAGAGTTTTGACCCTGTAATTACGCATGGATGAAGGGATCAAAATGGCCTGGAGTTTGAAGGACAGTGATTCTCACCTCAGCTTGTTAACACGTGGAATCATTCTGGATGACCGAATGACGAACGGGTTAACAGCTTGGAGGGAGCTGAGTCGTCAACTTAGCCAAAGTCGACCCTGTAATTACGTACGGGCAAAGGGATCAAAACGGCTTGGAGATGGTGTCAAGACTGTAAGATATGGATTAACCGAGTGACGTTCGGATAAGGTACGGATTGTCGCCCGGGGAATCGGAACTATGGTTTTGAAAAATCTCGCCTCAGTCATAAAACTTGACTTGGAAGCTAGTCGCCCTTTTTAGCTATAAGTAAGGAATGACCCAAATTCGGTGATCTTGCTTACAGTTCGAAAAGGGTTACCTCAGACCCCTAATATGGATGATACGAGCCAGAGAGAACGGTTCGGAATGCATCGGAATTATGAGTTTGGAAGGGAGAGAGCCTCACCTCAGCTTGTTAACACATGAAATCATTCTGGATGACCGAATGACGAACGAGTTAACAGTTTGGAGGGAGCCCCTATCCCAGCCGAGAGTTTGACCCTGTGGTCACGATCAAAACAGCTTGGAGGAATTCACCTCAGCTAAGAGTTTTGAACCCGTGCGTCACGAACAGGAAAAGGGATCAAAACGGGTTCGGAAAAGGTGTCAGAACAATTATGAAGAGAGTCTCACCTCAGCTTGTTAACGCGTGAAGTCATTCCGGATGACCGAACGTCAAACGGGTTAACAGTTTGGAGGGAGCCCCTATCCCAGCTGAGAGTTTGACCCTGTGGTCACGATCAAAAACGGCTTGGAGGAATTCACCTCAGCTAAGAGTTTTGAACCCGTGCGCCACGAACAGGAAAAGGGATCAAAACGGGTTCGGGAAAGGTGTCAGATATAAAGATATATAAGCCGAGTGAGGTTCGGCCATGTAGAAAAGATTGTGGACAAAAAATCAAAGGAATAGAAGAAGTACAACAGACGAAGGAAAAAAGTCCAGTTTATTCTTCGGCGTTACTAGCCGGAATATACAAGAAGAACAAATATACAAGAAGGTTACACTACTGGAGGATCGCCGTTCGGGGAGGACGTAGGCTGAGAGCTCCCTGCCTGCACTGCATCGTCAGGCGCTGCTTTGGATCTTTTCTCCATGACGCGATCGTACGTATTCCCGAACAGATCATCGAAGCCTAGTTCATCAGGATCGAACGGCTTGGGGAAACGCTCTAAGATCAATTCAAGATTCCTATCCAGAAGCAGGTCCTGACTTTGCTTTACGGTTTTCTCGGTCAGGACATCCAAGAAAGATTTCCCTTCCGGCGTGCTGTCCAGGAGGTCGATCCCTGCCTTGATGGGATCTGAGCTCTCACGCAAAAATTGGCCAAGGTGAGGACCTAGGAATTGCCGGGCCGTGTTCTCCGGAGCGAGGTTCAGCGCCTTGCCCCGTTGGAAATCCACTACCGATTGCTGAGCAATCTGAGAGGTATTGACCGTGTAGGGTTCGGGCAGATGATCTCCGACAGCCTTATCAAATTTAATGCCAGCAGATTCAACAGCCCGCACCTTGGCCCGGAGTTCTTTGAGCTCCCGGTCGCGACGACGGGACGTCTCCTGCATCTCGGCCAAGGCAGCTTTTGCCTTCTCACCCTCTTTGGCCTGCTCTTGGAGGTCGGTCGCTAACTTCCGAGCGGCGGAAAGAAGGACCTGGCCGTCATCCCGATCACTGGCCAGGGCTTTCATCTCCTTCTCAGCAGCAAGAAAGGCTTTGTGATAATACACGCCAGCCTGAAAACAAGGTTACAATGAAAGTCAGAAAAGGAAAAGCATGAATAATAGAAAGGTATGGGTCGGACTGAAATGTACCTTGAGTGCTTCCTGGTGACCTGCTTCGAAAAGGTCCGACCAGTGAGTCAAGTTAGTGAAGCTCGGGGGAACTTTGATCGCAGTATGACACCACATAGAAGATGGCATCAACCCGAACAGATACCTCCCTTCTGATCTGGGCCCCATATTTGAGAACTCAACAAACATCCGATCATCGATCGGTGTGGCAGTAAGAACCGGAGTTGGTTTGTTGGCAGGCACCGGTCTTTTGGGCTCGACCTCCGGCCCGGTCAAGTCAACCACATGGTCGGTCGGGATCAGGTGATCGCCACCATTTCCTTTGCGCTTTTTGCGGGTTTGCTCCGCCGAATCACGATCGGCTATCATCTTCTCCTTCCCTTTAGCAGAAGAGATAGAACGCCGGACGGGTATGGGAGATATCACACCTACAAGAAAGAGAAATAAAAAATAAGAAAGTTGAATTGTGAGAGCAAAGGATGATCGGGTTACAACCCTACTATGCTTACCAATTCCAGCAGATAACATGCTCGAGGCAGTGACAAAGCTGCGAAGACTTCTGGTCCCTCCCATTCGCAAAGACTCAGCCTGGGAGCGTAGAACGGCATCCACCCTGGGCAGGGAATCCCGAACGGGGTATGCGTTCCACCTGTCCGGGAATGGCAAAGAATCACCTACCCGAACGAACAAAAACCGCTCTTCCCAGTCAGCCTGCGGGGTAACGTTCTCTGTGAACAGCTGACGGTCAGAACGGGCTACCAGCTTCAAGTACCCGGTCGTCCAGTAAGGCTGATAGCAGTAATGATAAAGGAACAGATCGACGCTCGGGGTGATCCTCAACTCGTGGCACCGGATAATGAAGCCTGTCAGAGTACGGTAGGTGCTGGGCACGAACTGAGCAGGCAGTACAGCAACCCGGCGTAAGAACTCCACTATGAATGAGTGGAGAGGGAACCGAAGTCCAGCAATCAGAGCATCAAGGTGCACTAGCACGTGCCCCGGTCTGTGCCTCATAGGGTGCCGAATGAATCCGGCATAGTATTCTCTTGATGGGGGCAACAACTGGCTAAGTTGCCGTTCAACATCTTCTGGGAGACGTTGTTTGTGTTTGCGTATGCGATTGAAATGTAGGGCAATGCGGGGTGGCCGCTCGGGCATCCCCTTGTTGTAAACCTGGAGGTCATCTCCCGACAGACATCCATCCTCCTGTGGCTGTTCGGTATGTTTGCTGACCTGAAGATTGGCGGGTTTGGGTGTTTGGGACGAAGAGCCTTCGGCCTGGTTACCAGCGGGTGTTTTGCTTTTGCGGATCAAAGGCATCTCTTCAGATTCTGAGCTAGAGGAGTAGTACATAAAAACGCTGGAGGAAATTTGGGAACTCTAGAGAGAGAAGGCTTGAGAGTATGCAAAGGAATTCTAGAGAGAGAAAGCTCGAAAGCAAAATGGGAAAACAGCAGGAGAAATTAGGGGAAGCACCTCTCTATAAATAGGGAAAGTACCGCACAACTCCCTAATCCATGAGCAACACGTGGCATTTGGTGGTTACGATTAAAATTGGGGCATTTATGGTTCATTTTTTGTGCACGTACCCCGGACGAGCTTACAGAGGATTAGCAAAAATCACCGGGGCTTGCTGATTAGAAAAATGCTAAGTCCTAAATGTCAACCTGAAGCTCGACCGGTCAACAGTATTGTAAAAGGTCATCTGGAGGAAAATGGCTAAGTCCTAAAAATTGGTTTGAAGCCCGACCGGCTATCAATGTTATGAAGGAGCCCAGGTGCAAAGAAAACCGAGAAAACTGCTAAGTCCTAAAATTTGGTATGAAGCCCGAACGGCTGAGTACCGGGGGGAAGGGGTTTTTTCCTTGAATAAATTGTCAGAACTGTCTAATGCCCGAACGGCGATCAACGACATTAAGAATATTTGAGCAAGAAATAAGTTAGGAAATTGCTAAGTCCTACAAAACAGGCCGAATCCCGAATGACGAGTAAATCATGCATTAAAGACAGAAAAGACAGTACAGAAAGTTTCAGACAAAAGAGGGATATATATTCGTCGGTTCTACTGACCGGGAAGTACAAGCTATTTAGAGAAAAAGAAAATTACAACAAGTAATGAAAAAGTACATATGAATTATTGACTGGGGGCCATGTCATCTCCCTCTTCATCCTCATCCTCATCATCATCAGATGGGGGTTCAGGCTCTTTTCCCGCAGCTCGATCAGCTTCCCGTTGCTGGGCTCGCAGATATTTCTCGAACTGCGCCTGGATGATGTCATCTGTGGGAAGATCAGAGGCCTGGACCGGCCTCCCCAGTTGATTTTGAAGCTGAGTGACGAAGGGACGCAGCAAGACCTGGCCAATTTTGCCATAAAGATCGGAGACAATGGAGTCGTTCCATTTTTTGGCCTCCGGGTCCTTATCCAAGAGGGCCACCCCAGTCGATAGCCGACCGGCGCCTTTGGGGAAATCCTTCAAATATGCCCCAAAGGCGAACGGGATTTGGGCCCTTGCATGTTCATCCTTGATAATGGAGAATTCATCAGAGGATTTAAACATGTCCCGGACGGCGGACAGATCCACGTTCACTTCATAGGGACCGTCCGGGATGCTGGATGGCATTTCTTCGAATCTAACCCGTGCGGCCTCAGCGGCAAGGACCTTCGCCTGGGAAGCTGCGAGTTGGACCCGAAGGGTACCGATTTCAGCATCCAGCCTCTGCTTTTCCTCCGCAAAGGTTTTCCGTTCGGCCTCCAGAGAGGCGATGGCAGCAGCAGCATGTTGCTCAGCAGAAGACTGGGCAACAATCAGTTCCCGCTCTTTGGCCAGGCGGGCCTCCCGCATCTGAAGGGTGTACAAGCCCATCTACAGAATACCGTTCGAGAATTAGTGCTGGTTACAGAGAATAAAATAAAGACAAAACACAAAAGACAATATACCTTCAGAGCAGTCAGAGCCAGACATTCTTCAGATTGCTCGACCGGCAACTGAGGAAGGGAAAAGTTGTTGAACCAGGAGGAGGTAGACCAGATCTGGCTCGCTGTAGACCCGGCCCTCTCTAAAACCTCATGAACAGGGTCGGATAGGGAGATCCGCTCGACCTGACCCGTAATGTGGTCGGTATGGGTCTCACCAGCATTCGAGGATTCCCCCCGAACGGAGTCAAAATGCTGGGAAAATTGGTGCAATTGGTCAGAACCGAACCGATCATCGAGCAGCATGGCCTCTAGTTGATCTTGGTGGACCTGCTGAATTGGCTGAGGTTCTGGGAGCGGTTGGGAAGGGGCAGCCTCCTGAGCGGGAACAATGGTGGGAGTAGGTTGGGGGTTCTTCCGGGATTTTTTCCGCTTTCCGCCCCCACCGGCTGCGATGACTCTGCTATAATCCATTGGGAAGATCTGGGTTGGGTGCTGAAAAAAGACAAAGAACAATGTTAGTATTGAGCGGCTCCAGCGTGTGAGAAACTAGAAAAAAAGAATAAAAGAACGTTTCTCGCACGGGAAGGACCGCCCGGACCAAGGCACTTGGTTTATCAAAACAAGTAAACCCAAGAGAACGGGAAGTACCTATCCCGGCTGTTATAAGTCGTTCGGGGGTCAGATAATTCATGATGTCCATGCATTTATCTTTCTCCACAGCAAGCACGTCCTTGTAGATTTCTTCAGTGAGGACAGGATCAGGGGTTTTGCGGGGAAAGGCATTCCACTTGCGGGGAATCAGACCGTCCGGGATGAACACGAAGAAAAACCGGTCTTTCCACCCTTTGATCGAAGTTGGGTTTCCTTTGAACAGGATGTGTCCCGTTCGGGCACTAGTGGCCAAATAGCCATGGGTTTGTTGGGGGGCTACTTTGAAAAACTGGTGGAAGAGTTCTAGGGTTGGTCGGGCGTCGGCATCTTTGCAACGACAAATGAAACCCGCCATTGCTCGATAAGAGTTCGGCATAATCTGGGCCGGTACAACTTCGTAGAAATTGAAGAAAGAAATGAAAAAGGGGTGTAGCGGAAATCTGAGGCCGGCCCTGATCGAGTCAAAGTGGACTATGGTCATTCCGGGCCTATGACGCATTGGGTGAAGCCCGGCTTGCAAACGGAAATCCACCGGGTCAGGGATAAGGGCCGGAATTTCGGCCCTATTGTGAGAGGTCAATTTTTGCCTCCTCTCCCTAATCAATTTTAGGTCAAGAGTATGGCGAGGAACATCGTTGGGACTTCCGGCCGCCATGGAGGCTATTTCGTCCTCAGATTTGGTGTCATCAGAATCCTCACTGGAGGAAGAAGAAGTGATAGGGAGGTCCTCCGCCTCAGCCCTGGTATTCGTCGCCATCTCAGTAGAAACACCGGCAAACGGAACTAGGATGGCATCTACAATGGCGGTGTCACGGTCATCTCCATGAGACGCCATCTCCGAATCAGAAGAATGCTCTATGGGGCTCATCTCGATCGAAGCCAGAAATGAAGATGGGGAATCCAAGGTTGGGAAATTACCTGAGCAAGGGAAGCAGGGGGAAATTTGCAGAGGAAACAACGAAGGCCAAGGAATTGCAGAGTCGAAACCCGGAATTGAGGAGTTAAGGGCTAATTTATAGCCTTGAAACCGCCGTGTCGAGAACCAATCAGAGAGCGACACATCACTAGGGGCATTTAAACTAGACACGCGTCTAATGAAAAGACTAAACGACGGTTATCATGATGAATATGGGGAAATGAAGCGGCAGCCGTCAAATCGCAGCATGGGGAACTGATTACTTCTGTACCCCGATCGCCATTCGGGGTATTATGACATTGGTATACTTCCTGATGCACTCACTTCATTCGAGACATCGGAAGTGGGGGACCTGTGTTGGGATATTGACCTAGAGGCCCAATACCCAGATCGGGAAGGCCCAAGGTATCCGGCCCAAGTAACAGGCCCATCACTCTATGATGAAAAAATCCAGTAATAAGACATACCGAACGGGGTTCGGCCCAAATAAAGGTTGGCCCAATAAGAAGACATACCGAACGAGGTTCGGACTATATACTATACTTCGGCCAATTTGACAGCATCTTCAGTACGGACCAACATCCCATTCGAGCAACGGCCAACCAGCAAGTGGCCAGGTGCAGTTAATGCCAGACTATGACATCAGCAAGTGGAAGCATGGATGACCAAGTCGGTGGAACAACGGCCAATCAGCAAGAGGCAGCCCATGCTCTCCATTAGTATAAATAGAAGGTTTCAAGTCATTGTAAGGGTTAGCATTTCAATACTCAAGCTCTAGAATAGCATCATTTGCTCTTATTTCTTGTATCAAAGCATAGTTTCCGACTTACCGATCGGGAATCCCTTGTAATCAGATTGGTTAATTAATACAAGTGAGCTTTCGAGTTTTAGTTAGTTCAGATCTTATATTTTCTTATACACTTTGATTCTGGGCCATTCCTGATATATCCAAAGTTCGTGTTGGGCTTTCGGATCTGCGGGACTTACCCTCAACAGCATACATACTATTGTAATAATAAGAAAACTCTTCATGACTCACAAACACCCTTTTTGTTAGACAAAAATTGTAATTCAAAAACCAATTCTTTATTCTGATAAAGATTCATGAGGTTAAACAAGGCAAAAGTTATTTAAAAAGTATTGGTGAATGTATACCTTTTAAATTCTTAATCTTCAAATAACTTTCCTTTGGGTTGGTATTTCTTACGATTTAATGTATCAATACTTTTTTTAGAGCATTTCAATTATAAAATCAAAGTTATTTTTCCATTGTCTAAACTAAGAATGTAATAGTTTTAAATGACGTCGTGTATGTATTAAAAAAATTTGAATAAAAAATTGCCGCAGAGCCCTATACTGGCAAAAAAAATCGCCCCGCTACACTAGCGGGAAAAAATTCTCCGCGCTACACTATCGAAAATTTTTCACCCCCTACACTCGTGAAAAAATTTCGCCCCCCTTGACCAGAAATCCTGGATCCGTCTCTGCCCATAAAAAAATAGTAATATTGTCTTATGTAAAACATGATATTAGAGGTATGACTTAGGGTGTTTACTGTTTAGAATTGATTCTCATTCTACTTGTTTTTTAAATCATAAGCAGAATCAGTTATCAGAAGTTGAACTCCACAACTTCTATAAAACTGCTTCTACGAGCAATTCAGAGCATCCAAAAGTACTACTGCTGAAGGAGCAGTTTTAAGAAGTAAATCTAAACATCTTATTAGTCTGCACTCCTTTATTTACTTCTAGTTTAGTAGTGTTATGTAGAATTGTATTATCTAAGTTCGATGAGGCCCACCTTGTCTGGTGTGGTCAAGGGTGGAGCTAGGGGTGGGGTAACCCTTGGCCCTGATCCACACCAAATTTAAAAAATTATGTAATTGTTTTCAAAACTTACCTAGTCCATCCAACCTAGCGCCCTTGCTCCGTCCCTGAGTGTGGTGTTTAAGTATGTGTATTCTTGTCTCATTTTCTATCTCACTTGTATTATCCCTACCCCAACCAGCTGAAATAAAATCTTTGATTATTATCTGTTGAAAAATGGTTCAAAGCTAGAACTGTTGTAAAAACATATTTCTTTATGGAATAAATAATCTTTTCGGAATAAATTATTTATTTGTCTACTTTAGTATAATGTGATCTAAGAGTTATTTCGGTCTAGGAGTTTTTTTTAAATGGAGATCTTTTTAAGAAGTTCCATTGAGGAGTTTTTTCCGAAAGGAGGGTAGGCTTCAATCTTATTTCCCAATTGAGGGTACTTTTAAACTTATTTCCCAATTGAGGGTAGTTTTTTCCATATCACTCAATTTCCGCCACATCACCCACTCCACATCATTCACTGTCATCCGTCATTCCACGTCATGAGCCATATGGGTATTCTTTTAAAATATAAAAAAAATCCGAAGCTCCCAGGAAATGAACTCACGACCAAAATGATGCACTTGCATCTTGCAATCCACTAGACTACATTTGGTCATGAGTTCAATTCCTGGGGGCTTCGGATTTTTTTATATTTTAAAAGAATATAAAAAAATACCCTCATTTGGATGACATGGAAAAACTACCCTCATTTGGGAAATATGTTTAAAAGTACCCTCAATTGGAAAATAAGATTGAAGACTACCCTCCTTTGAGAAAAAACTCTTCTATTGAGTAGTTTGTGATAAATTTTGTAACTTTTAGCATTAATTAGTAACAATATGTTGCTATTCCAAAGTGAACTAATTAAATTAAACAAATACTCTTTTAAGTAATACGGAGTAGCTTTTATGAAACAATTTCAATCTTTTTCTTTTTGCTTTTAGATCTACTCTTGTTTTGAAATAAGATTTTTAATTTTCTTTTTATATACTATCGTATTTCGTTCATAAGAGTTTTTGTCACTTTTAGTCCTCCGATTATATGTCATTGAAATTTTTGGTACTTGAATTTGATTTTTCCCCATTTATAATCCTTGATATTGTGCTAGAGATACTTTTGGTATCCGTCTTTGAGAATCTATACATTTAGTCATCCGACTTTCATAAAAGTGATACTTTTAGTCCTTCAACTATTATAATAATAACATTTTTAGTCATCCACTTATTGTGTCAAAATTAAAGTGGAAGGACTAAAAGTGTCAATTTAATAATACTCAGGGGGCTAAATGTGTGATACTTTGATGTTGAGGACTAAAATTGCACAAACTAAAAGTCGAGTACAAAAAATGTCAATGACACAATATTCGAGGGACTAAAAATGACAAAAACTCTATTCCATGATTATATTTCTGACTCTTGTTGGTATATTTTCTATCCGAGTCATACATTTTTATTATCTTTATAAGATAATGCTTTTGTGCCTTTCCCTTTGAAGTACTGCCGAAGAAAACTCGTCTATTTTTATGAAAAAATAATGTTGGTCCATATGAAAACTCGTCTATTTTTTCATATTATTTTTATGAAAAACTAATGTCGGTCCTTGTGAAAATGGTAAATAATTAAGAATGTTTACTTAGTTCCAGATCAAATTAGATCAGACCAAATCAGACCTAAACAGACCAAACCAGACTTAAGTACACCAGATCAGATCAGACCTAACAATTATAAAATACATAGAAACCAGACATTTTGAAGACCAGAGATCAGTTCAGACTTAAACAAACCTGACCAGATCAACAAATTAGTTCAAAAGAAAACATACTCGGTATTAAGATTGAATAGGGATGGAGAACTAATTGAAGGCGGCGTATGATGAGCACATGGATATGCACTTGGAAGGGCATGTGCCCGTGAGAAGGAAGATAAGGAAAGGGCATTGAGACTTGAGAGTGTAGTCACAGTCTAAACTCAATGTCTCGTGCCATGTTACACGGGAACCTAAGCATTGCAAAAAGCATATACCAAAAAGTATTATTTCCCCATTTCCTTAAATGTTATGCAAACCTCCCTGGTTTTAAGTAGGGGTAGGAAAAACCGAACCGAAACCCAGAAACCGGTTCTGGCTTGACTCGAATTATGATACCGGTATGAGTTTTTTCTTTTTGACTGGCCTGAATAAAAAAACCCGGACCTAACCTGAAATTTC